ACCCTATGAGATATAAAAAAGATTATCCTCAAACTGATATTTCTTAACGCCGCATAATATAGCTCCTCGCGCACTGTTTTCAACTATTGAATAAAATTCCTGAGCAGGATGATTATTTGAACAATGTGAGGTGTGAAAAAATGTGAATCAGCAAATCCGAGCTCCTTCAAAAGCAGCACAAGTATTGTGTGAAGTACGAGCAGCTCGGCATTCTCTCACACACAGTATTTGTTTTCTCACTCGCTTTATATCCATTTCCCTACCTCCCCTTCCCACTATCTTTTTCATACACCCACTCTCTCTGTTGCTAAGGGATCTTCACCTTGCATTATCCACTCTGGAAATCATTAACCAAGCCATCACTCTGTTTCCTGCACCAGCTTTAGGTTCATAAAAGACATAATTCAAAAAATATATCAACATATCAAACGTCCCAGCATCCACTGCCCATTTATCATCCCATCTTTGTTCCTGCATATGCCAATGCAGTAAAAATTCACTGCCGAGTATTAAGAGGAGCATTGCGTTAGAATGATGTGGGTGCAGAGGAGAGAAAAAAAGCTCATTAAATGATAGCATTCCACAAAATGTCATCATTAGGTGTTTCCGTTTCATCCCTCCATTGCTCTGGGAATCGCAGTCCAGCTGTTCGAACACCTTCCTGTGTTTCCTCTCGTTTAGTCAGACGTCCAACTCGATTACCACTGCCTGACTGGAGAGGAACCTGCAAGCTAATGGTGTTTCTTTAGGGATCGTTGGGCACTTTCTTTTCTTTTAATCGTTTGGAAAAATTGAAAGTGTAAATAACGTTAAATAAGCCTTGTTTAATTTATACATGTGTAACATTTTAAAAGACTTTGTCAAGAATCTTGTAGCGTCTCTTTTTGATGTTTGTAAAAAATGAAGTGTGCGTGAGAGGCGTTGAGATAAGCTTTTGTCTCTATGTGGCGATGCATTGTTTGCCCTCCTGCCAAATGTGTAGGACTCTGGTACATTTCAATGAGTCAACAGTATCACGTAAGCCCTTTCTGACTGGATTTGTGTATTCCTGCAGTGGGTTTGTTTGTAAATGTGTGATCGTGAATATTAAGTGATTTGTTGATGGACTGTGAACAAAGAAAAGTCAGCTTTTTGTCACCCATAACTGCGTATGAGTCAGTCGCATCCGTATGCTCAATTACCGAATAATACTTAACACTTGACGAGCTGATTGATACGATATTTCAGTGCTGTTGTCTTCAAAGGAAACCCCCTAGGCGTTGAGGAAGGACAGTTGAAAAAAATAGCAATTTATAATATGTTAGAAAAGCAATAATACTGTGCCTGGATTGGATATAAGCCTTAAATATGATTTAAAAGATGTTATAATGACATTGTGAACTTATGTTTCCATTGTTGAGCTTTATGTTTCCCTTTTTCTTCTTGGTACTTGTCTGAACTACATTTGACCTTCTTACTTTTCTCTTAATATCTATGGATGTACTTCATGAGGTCTGGAGCTCTTATGTAAAGATACCTCTTCACAACAGTGGCTTATTTGCTCTATCACAGCATAAAGGTTAAGTGAGACTTTTTTCAATGTTGGAACGCTAATTTAATGTTTAGTTCTTCTTACTTAAACAGATATTTTTATAGGTAAAAACGATATAAATACTGTTCGTTTTCTCATACAAACCGCTCGTTTCGTGTCTTAGGCCATCAATGCGTACTTGCATTTACGAGTCATTAAATCATGTTTAATTTGGACTTCTCTGTGCATGCTCTTTGAGGAAGACCCCATAGACCTGCATTATATGACTGACAGACAAGAACGGTTTGATCTAAAAATATCAAAAATTGAAAATACTGTGGAAACAAAGACACCTACATCTTGGATGCCCTTGATGTAAGCTAAAACATATCAAAATTTAAATTCAAAGTGAACTATCCCTTTAAGTTGTTCTAAACCTGTATGAGTTTCTTTATTCTGTTGAACACAAAATAATTTAGGTTAACAAACAATTGCTGGTCCTCATTGACTTCCTCTATGAAAAATAAATACTATGGAAGTCATCGGGGACCAGATACGAAAATTCTTCCAAATATCTTCCTTTGTGTGCAACAGAACAAAGAAACTCATACAGGTTTAAAATAACATGAGGGTGAGTAAAATATTTACAGAATTATTATTTTTTTTGGGGGGTGAACTATCCCTAGGAAGATCTACCATTCTTAAATGCCTTTTTATTTTCTAACTTAAGAATAAAGTTAAGAATTTTTTTGTTTTCCCAAAAATATTTCTTTAGAATGTTCTTATCTTTTTTTTTTATTGTGGCTGTAAAGCAAAATTTTAATAACTAATTAGAACCCCATTGCAATTGCTCTTTTTTTTTAATTTAGCAGATTTAAAGGTGCAGTAAGTGATTTCTGAGAAACACTGTTGATATTTGAAATCAACTTCAGTGCTGAAAAGCTTTTCTAATATTAACTTGAGTCCTGAAGCTCTTGCCTGATCCTAACCCCTTCTTTTCCATTGATATTCCTTTGACATTTTCTCTTTTATAATGTCTCTCAGCCATCTCTCTTTCTACAATTGTTCTTCAAATCTCCCTCTTGTTCGCTCTCTCTTCCCCCGATCATGAATGGACACGCCCCCTACTGCTGATTGGCTACAAGTGTGTTTTTGTGGTGCTCGGTCTGATCCACTTTCAACAGTGTTTTTTTTAGAAATCGACTACAGCACCTTTAAATGTTTTAAATGTAGTTTATACAGTTGTTTAGTGATGCTATTTGTGCGAGAAATTCAAACCTTCACTTTTAAGCAAATCAAAATGAGTTTTGTGACTTTGTCATAAGTGATAGCTTTAAACATCTTATCTTCTCTTATCTGTTTATTGTGATGTGCATAGGCTAATGTGTCCACTTATGTTTAACAGCAGCATTTAGCACTCATTTAAAGTGAACTTTAAAGAAGAGGCCTCTGTTTCTCACCTGTCTTTACTCTTCGCGGTCTTGCCAATGGCAGTGTGTGTTTTATTGGAAATATTCCTCATTTGACAGTTCTTGCCCAGTTGGCAGCAGCAGGTGTTGCTCCGTGGGCCGTCTTTATGTGTCAGCTCAGAAATATGGCGCACACTCCGGGGTCGTTCTGCAGATCCCCGAACCAGCTTTCATGTTGGCATTCTAAATTTTATCACGCTTTTGTTTTTTGGCATTGCATAAATGTGTCCCTTCCTTCTTGTCCACCCCCTTTCCCCACTCCTCATAACTGTGAAATTTCACATGTTGGTGTAATGCAGCTGAAGTTTAACTCCTCATTTTCACCTTTGATTGTGTGTGCAGTCCCTCTGTAAAACTTGTTTAAAGCAGAAAATGGATCTGGGTTGCAATGCCCACAGTCATTGGGGAGGGTGGCATATGTAAACCTAGAAAGTGGAGGAAATACTGTATTTCTGGAATGAGAGCACACCAGTGTTGTTTATCGCATGCCATGTTGTCTGAAGTCTGGTAAACACTGAAGAAATATAACATTATTACAGTATAAGTGAGACAACAGTAATGCGTTTTTTCGGCTTTCTCTGCAAATTATATGAGACCATTTTCTCTCATAACTTCAATTACAGGCAAAACACATTAGTTTTGTGCTGTAGTGCGTCTGACTTTGTAGTGTCATTAATTAGAAAAACAAAATGTAGTATAGCCCCCTAAGAAGCTTTTCTCTTGTTGTTATGAGTCTTTACCTTTTGTCTAAACTTCAACATTTCTGACATTTATTCCATCTGAACAGTTTTGAGGTAAAATTATTTATTTTAATTTGTTCTTTTTCGTCCTACAATTAGTGAGCTGTGTCAATACATTTGTCAATACCGGTACATTTGTCAGTATGTTGTGCCATGTGTGTGCAGTAATAATGTTGAATACAACACCATCTGCAGCTCACAATTATGACAATTGTTAAAATGCCATGGTGGTGCATAAGAATCATATTGATAGTATGAATAATTTGGACTATTCATAGTGTCGGAATCGTCTTGTTGTCACAGAGTAATAATCATGTTCAACGCATTCTCATCCTTTAACGGCATATAGAACGCTATATGACAAAACGGCGCTATACTACGCACATGGCACCCGTTATCGTTAATATAACACGCGAACCCAAGACGTTATAAATCCTTTATCGTGAATATGACACGCACACCCTACCCCACACCTAAACTTAGCCCTCACAGCACGTGTTATATTAACGATAACGGGTGCCATGTGCGTAGTATAGCGCCGTTTTGTCATATAGCGTTCTATATGACGTTAAAGGATGAGAACGGGCTCTCATGTTGCATCAGTTGCTTGGCTTTGGCAATTCCAGCTTTTTTTTTTTTCCAAGATTTTTTTTTACCTTAAAATAATGTTTTCAAAATTGTTCCAGTGGTTCATCAAGTCGTGACATGGTGAAATGCACTTATGCCACCGCTTTGCGGCCCTTTATCTGATATATCCACGCTATGTAAGATTGCCAGATCGGGTCGCGTTTTTGTAGTCCGAATGAGACATAAGAAAACTACAAATTTGACTTGCTTTACGGAAAGCATTACAATTGGCGATAGGTAGAGCGTACTCGACATTAGACTACAACATATAAGAAACCTAGCAGCCGGGTAGTTTTTGAAATGTCATCATGATTCAAAAGCCGGTGCTGGAGAGCATGTGCACGTGTGACAGTAGGATGCGGTAGGCTAAATTATTTACGACAGTTCCGCTTCCAACCTGTAGGGCGACCGCAGAGAAAAAGTTACTTGGTGTTGCTTTAACCCTCTGATACCTAAGGCCATATTTACTTTTATAATGAAAAAGATTGACATTTCCTTTGTAATTTATTCCCTCAAGTGCTGCTCTAACATTAAGCTATCAAACTTGACTCCAGTGACAACCATCAACTGACCTTAGTTTAAATAAATGTATTGTAAATGATGTGCCTGTCTGTGTGATGGATAGCGTTGTGAGTTTTTCCTTTATGTTGTTAGCACACATGGCACAAGACTCCCTGAGGCGGACAGAGTTTGTTGATACTGTAACAGGATCTCCCACTATCCACACAGAAGGTTCTACCACTGCTGATTATGTACACACAGCACACAGCTACACATCTTACTAGGGCTGTTCCAGTTACGGAGAAGGAAGAAAAACAGGAGGACTGTGGGGGATGCTCTGAAGGAGTTGTAGGTTATTGGGGTGCCAGGCCAAGCTGCGTAGCCTACTTAGTGTACAGCTGCAACTAGGCCAGACTGTTCCTGAGAGCAGACGTGCCAAATGATTCAGCAAGCAGAGACTCCACAGGGACTGAAGTGTCCTCCAGCACAACAGGCACAGTAACACAATTTAGAGTTTTTCTTGAATTTTCATTGGTAACATTTTGCAGTTATTCCACATACTGAGGAAGTGCACACTGTTTCTGAACGCCCTAAAGCGCCTCGATTGTAAATTTGAGTTTTCTTCTGGGAATGTAGTACACATGACAATATTCTTCATTTAAATAATTTCTGCCAAATGCATATGCAGAAAAAAGGGGCCAGGCCAGATTACATTTGTTGAAACTTTAGCATATTTAACCTATATTATAAAAATATTTTTCGTTTATTTGTCACGATACCTTATTCATTAACTAACTGAACCTTTTTTTTAAAATGTTTACTCTTTTGTTGTTGTTTATGTATAAATATTTATTATCTTATTTATTAGATATTTTAAATGGTTTTAATTATTTTTTGTTATATGTTAGATTATTTATTATTCATAATGCTAATTTATAAATTAAATACCATGTACACCCACTATTGACTTCCGTCTTGGATGATCAGATTGCAAGTGGATGTTAATGAATGTTAAATACAGGTGTAAACTGGGTCCAAAACATTTGATCATCTAATCAATCAAACCACATTCTGTGGAAGATGAAAATGGATTTTGGCTTCACATCACAAGCATTGCGTTGAAATGAGAGTTTTCAGCTTTGATTTTAACTAAAATTGTTTTAAATATCTCGTTCAATAGAGATATATTTTTAAATTTTTTACATTTGAATTTATTCATTTATTCAGATATTTAGTATTTCATGCCTCATATTAACAGAAGTTACACCGACCTGCAAAACATTGAATTTGAATTAAATTTGAATTCCTCTAAAAGCATTGCAGTGAGATTACAATTGTGTGGGTAAAACTATGTCACCTTATGGTGCATTTTTGATTTGAGCTTTATTTTTATGGAATAGCAGTGGTGAGTGATTAAAACTCTTTGTCTGTCTCACCTGAGCATGTAATAATCAGACAAAATGAAGAAAATATTTTATTCCCATACTTTCCCAAAGCAGTCACGCATCTACAAACAAGCAATGTCACAAAAAGTGACACATTCTGGGTCCCTGTAGTTTACAGACCATGCAAAAGAGAGCAAATCACACTGTTTCTAAACCCTCACAGCTCTTTATTGCAGTACAAAACACACACACACACACCCCAAGAGAAGGAATCCGGGGAGGCGGGGAGTGTTAGTGCCGAACCAGGCTAATCAGAGCAGGGAAATGAGGCGAGTCCCACACAGGGCTCCCGCACCTAGAGGCCCACTCGCTTGACAGTTCTGATGGATGGAAGTGTCTTCTCGTCTGAGAAAGAGAAAGATATTGGGAGGAAGTTGAAGAAGTGCACTGCAGGTATATGTCGCTGTTGGGTTTCTAGGGTATTTAACAAAGAAAGATAGAGGTGGAGCTTGAGGGGAAGGAGCGATGGCATAATTAGTCTCAGCATCAGACGGCACACCCACACAATGTCTGACGTATATTGAACAATAACGGCGAGAGCTGGCTAAAATCAACAGTTCAAATCGAATTGGATGGCTATTACATAATATCCGGTAGACATGGTGTGCACAGTTTTTTTTTTTTTTTTATCAGCCTGATGGGAAGCAAAACACCAGTCTTCTACGATAAACTCTTGCGAGCAAGAACTAGACAGTGCATTTTGCAAGTTTGCATGTTGTGTCGCATGGAATCTTAGGACGTATTCAGACTGTTCAAACTTGGCAGGTTCGGTTAAATTAAAACGAACTCAATGCGATTGCTCTGTTTGTGCAGTTGATTTGAATAAGCGTGAACGCTGCCATCCGAATCCTGATGCGCACCAAACAAATGAACAGAGACCCCTGAAAGGTACACTCTTAGAAGAAATGGTTCTATTTAGAACAAGAAATGGTTCCATCCCCCACTTCATATATGGAACTCCAAAATGGTTCTATATAGAACCATTTTTTTTTTTTGGTTAAAGGTTCTATTGGCCAAGTACGGAACCCCAGGGTTCTATATAGAACCCAGAGGAACCCTTATTTTAAGAGTGTATTGAACCTTTTAGGGGTTTCAAATACGTAGCACTGATGGAACATTTTAAGGTTCTATATAGAACCGTTTCTTCTAAGAGTGTAAGTTCCAATCCTCTTCCAAACAAATGTTAGGGCTGTTCAACTGAAATATGAATGCAACACAGAGCAAAGACATCAAAACAAACCTAGAACAGGACAGGATGTCACAAGATACAAACCTAGACAGAATGTTCAAGTATAGTTTGATACAGGCATCAGGCATTAATTTTGATAAGAATGTTAATCTTTTTGATTGGTTCATTGAAGGATTAGTAATAAGATAAATGCAATTGTTGTTCCATGCAAAAGGCAAGATTCCTTGCCTATTTATTTTCTTTTTCCCTCATTACATTAGATTCAAACTGAAAACCCATTTCAAATAAACCCGAAAACATAACTTATTTTGCTGTAGCGCTGTAGATTCAGAAAACACTGTCCACTGAGTTTTTTACAACACTGTTCTGTTCACATCGGCAGAAGAATGCCGTCGTTGAAGGACCTAAATGTCATAAAATTTGTATTTTTATAACTATTTATAAGATATAAATAAATACTATTAATGATAATTGTTTATATTTAATTAATAAAAAAGTTAAGTGTGACTATGTTTGTTTAAAGAAGCTTTTCCAAGAGAGTTTTTACTGTGCTTTAGTTTTTGCCATAAACCGTTTAAGCACAGGACATTTTTCATGGTGCTGGTTAATGCAATGCTTTTACAAATAAAATAAAATATATATTTCTTTTAAATCTTAAGTATAACCTTTAAATATAGCTTATTTTTGTTTCCCATTTTTCTATTAGAATACCAGTGCATTTGAAGACCAGGGCAAAGTAAGGCCACAAACGCTGCTGTGGTTTGCCAGTGGTGTCTGAAATAGACCTCAAGTATATGTCTACTGCAAGTGACACTGCAATAAGCTCTGTGGGTATTGTAGCAGGCCAGACAGAAGATAATTACACGTTTTACTTCCTCATTCAGTATCTATAGATGCAACACAGAATGAGGTAGATTTGAATTGAGCGACAAACTTTCCATGACTTTTATAGAATAGAAACCGGCTCCAACAGTGCCAATTTATCATTAGCAGCATGGTTGGGGGAGATATGGAATGAAAATATTTAGTTAACTCTCATCGGGGTTTCTCCACCACCAAGTCACAACTCACTCACACTAGGCCAACTGCTATTCGTATGTCGCAGGTTGTCAGTCACACAGTGGGGCGTTGTGTTTGTGGATTGTTTGTGTGGCTGAGGAGCTTAACAGAGCAACATGGTTTGAAGCAATGGAGATCAACTAGTTTGTGAGGGACTGAATAGGCTTGAGCTGGTATTTTACTTAAACTGCCAGTCTTTCATGAAATGTCATTTGGTGAAGTAATATGAACTAATAAAAATGTTGCAATTGATGTGTAGGCATTTGCTAAAGCATTTTAGAAATAATTCATTGTTTTGGGCCTAATTTTATTTTAGGCAAGGAATTTTAATTATATTTAAAATATTTTTTGTTATTTCTTATTATATATATTATTTATTGCAAATAAAAATTATACAATACTCAAATACAAATTATATAAAAATAAAAATACAAGGCACACATGGGTCTGTAGTAACCTCAGTGAATCAGCATATTTTTAGAGAAGCGTATGCACAGTTATGTGTGATTCTGGATAACTGGGTCAGAAAAATTTCCCAGAGGCATTTGGAAGATCATGGAGAGAATGAGCTGTGTTGGTTCAACCTTTGGTCATAGACATAGAAAATAAAAAAATGTGTGTTATTTTGTGAGCACACACAGTTATCGTTTTATTTTATACTTGATTAGAATCTCGCCCTAGGGCGACTGTGTTTAACGACTGTATACTGAACCAGTGCAGGTTCCCATTTAGGCAGAATAAAAGGGTCTAAGGTAAATGGATTCTTTGACATCCCGTGTGCATTCTCACCAGGCTAAGTCGTCTAAGATGTTATCATTTTCATTGTGTGATTATTTATTTTTTCAGTTACATTTAGATTTGATGTCGGCACAACAAGGTTTGTCAGATTTATAAAGAAAGATTTTTTTTTAGTTTTTTTTTTAAAACTGTTTATTTGAACCTTATTGTTTGTTTGATTTTAGAGCACCTTATCTTAAGATTTTACAAATGCTATTTTTACATCACGGTTATATAAGGTATTCAAGATAAGGTTTCAAACCTAGTTGAAGGACAAAAGCAGAGAATTGTATGAATAACAATATAGTCTGACATATCTTTCACGTTTTACTCCGAAAAGAAATGAAATAATATTCTGTTAACTAGAAAAATAATGTGATGGCTTATAATTGCCCAATAAATGCCTTTGGGACATACACTAACGCATTTAAAATGATACGTTTCGTTGGTTTTGCTACATGGATGTAAATAAACGCTGAGTCTATCAGCTATCACCGGGAGGAAGTTTTAGATGATGAGAGAAAGAAATTGACAAGATGTTGGTTGTACACGCAAACCTCTTTGTGACTTCTGTAATTGGTGTAAAACATAGCTTGAAGGCTCAGATCTGCATATAACCACAGCTATTGCGTTCGGTCTAGAGCCAGACCGATATATCGGCAGACCGATATTATCGGCCGATATTAGGCATTTTCCAAACTATCGGTATCGGCAGTTATAATGGCCGATAAATGAATATTCTCAAAATAAAATAAAAACGGACGAAACACGCTTAAATCCATGTCATGAATGTTGGAGTTGTATAGTTTGTCCA